AAACAGCGATGATGAAAATATAACCGTTTCTGTGGCAGAGTTCTTGCAGGCTGCTCTTTTTATTCGTAGTACAGTATTGTAATACAAAACTTGTATTCAGGAGATATGAAACTGAGACTCATTTTACAGTGATTTTAGACTACCTTAGAACGGTTTTTTCTCTCTCTTTGATTGGTATTTGTTCTTTACCTTATCTTTTGTATATTACTCTCTTCAATGTCAATACCAATAAAGGTAATTGAACTGAATTGAATTAGTAAAACAACGGAGGGAAACACCAATGCAGAATTGCCTTTTGTCCCAGCTGTTGTCAAGGAAATGTGAATGTCTCTCATCCGGAGACAGATCAAGATGGAAAGACATGTTAGTCTGTCTGTAGCAGTAGAAAACAGCAAGAACTCAGTAGCGCCTTAAAGACTAACAAGGGGTATCTGAAGAAGTGAGCGGTGACTCACGAAAGCTCCTCCCCTGCCACAAATTTTGTTAGTCCTCGAGGTGCTACTGGACTCTTGCTCATTCCCAGGGGTCATTTCGTAGAAAAAAGAGGTGCAGGAGCTCATTAGCATAACTTATTTGCATGTTATTTGCATATGCCACACCCCCCTGACATCACCGGAAGTGTGTCAGAAAGCAACACCCACCACTCAGGCTCCACTGGACTGTTTTGGACTGCTAGCTATTGGGTGGGGGGGAACGTGTAGATCTGTCCTCACAGAGGAGGGAGAGCTTCTACCTGAAAGCAGGCGGCGGGGGGGGGGACTTACCTGACTGCTTCTTGCTCCTTGTGGCCCGACTGAGGGCTTCTGGGAGCAGGGGGCGGGGCTTGTTGCATGTGCCTGCCCCCTGGGCTCCTTACTGCCGGCCCACAGGAAATGACCCCTGCTCATTCCTCTAATCTGTAGCAGGATAGTCCCACCATTCAGCGATACTGAAGAAGTTAGCTAGATGCGAGTCCTGTAGCATCTTGGAGATCTACCAGGCTTACCGGGGGGCGGGGGTCTATGCTTTTGAGAGTCAAAGCTCCTGTGACGGACAGGCTAGGTTCTGCCTCTCCCTAAGAGCAACCAATGAGAGCAGATGTTGAGAGTGGGGATTGGAAAAACAGCAGTTAGGGGCTAGTGGCTTAGGAGTCGAGGGGAATAAAGGAGGATGTCTCTGTAAGCGGAACTCTGCAGAAGAGCGGCTTACAGCTGGCTGAGCATAGTCAATTTGTAAGTCAAGGATCCCGGTTGCAGGAATAGGACCTCAGTTCAAAAGTTCAATAGAAGCAGAACTTTGTTGGTCTTAAAGGTGCCACTGGACTCAAACTTGGTTCTGTTACTTATACCTCACTTTCCCTCAGTGTTACGTTCATACCTAAGGGACCGCCTTTCCCCATATGTTCCCCCAAGGGCACTACGGTCGGGGACGCAACATCTCCTGGTGATGCCAGGCCCCAAAGATGCCAGGTTTGCTGTAACCAGGGCCAGGGCTTTTTCGGTGGCGGCTCCTACCTGGTGGAATGAGCTCCTGAAGGAGATCCAGACCCTGTGGGACCTTGTGCAGTTCCGCAGGGCCTGTAAGACGGAGCTCTTCCACCAGGCTTTCGAGTAGGAGCCGCCACTACCACACCACCACTACTGCATCATCATTATCGCACCATTGTTGCCGCACCACCACCAACTGGGTTAGGTAACATCGGGGCGTATGATGGCCCTGTGACAAGTTACTTATAATACCGCGTAGAACTCATACCACTGAGACTAACATTCCCAGGAGGCTACGGAACTGGGCCATCTTGTGATTGAAGATCTTTTTGTAAAGAGCACTTCATGTTGTTGCAAATGTTGGTTTTATCTTGTTTTTACTGTTTTAACTCTTGGCATATGTTGCCCTATTTGTGAGCCACCCTGAGCCCGCTTGCGGGGAGGGCGGGCTATGAATTCGAATAAATAAATAAATAATACCATAAATAAAAGTCAACTTCTTGTTTTGTTTAACCCTATGGACTGCGTGTCTAAGGGAAAGCTTCAGGCAGACACACGATTTGATATCTCAGTCTCTGCATATATTATAGGATATGACTTACTGGCGGCAGCGAGTGAATGGAACAGTGCTTGAGCCCCAACCCCACCAACCCTGTGTGAGTGAGGGCCTGTTATGGAAGGGGGCCAGGCTACCCTGTCTCTGGGTGTGTCTGGGGGTACAATCACTACACAGAGATCTAGGAAGAGAAGACTACTCAAAAGGAGGTACATGTTTTGTTTAACCCTATGGACTGCGTGTCTAAGGGAAAGCTTCAGGCAGACACACGATTTGATATCTCAGTCTCTGCATATATTGTAGGATATGACTTACTGGCGGCAGCGAGTGAATGGGACAGTGTTTGAGCCCCAACCCCACCAACCCTGCGTGAGTGAGGGCCTGTTATGGAAGGGGGGCAGGCTACCCTGTCTCTGGATGTCCAATCACTACACAGAGATCTAGGAAGAGAAGACTACTCAAAAGGAGGTACGGTGGGAGCGATTAATTAAATTGTAATAGAATTATTAATCTGTTAATTCTGTTCATCTGTAGAATGGTTAAACTAGTAAAGTGTTACATGCTTAAATCGTTAAACTTATGAATCAGGACTGTTTAAAACTGGTAGATCATTAGTTTCATGTAGGTCATACTGTTAGAGGGCTAAATTACTAGTATAATTATTACTAGTAAATAGTAAAAAAATAGTAAATAAATTACTAGTATACGTATTTCTAATTTGGTAGATGCATGCAATTCGAATAGAATTATTAATCTGTTAATTCTGTTCATCTGTAGAATGGTTAAACTAGTAAAGTGTTACATGCTTAAATCGTTAAACTTATGAATCAGGACTGTTTAAAACTGGTAGATCATTAGTTTCATGTAGGTCGTACTGTTAGAGGGCTAAATTACTAGTATACGTATTTGTAATTTGGTAGATGCATGCAATTCATACCAAATTGTATGCATATTGAAAGGTCTTTTGTAATAAAAATCTATCCCCCCCAACTATTTTCCTCATAACTGTGTGAGGGAGGGCTTGTTACTGAAGGGGCTATCCTGTCTCTGGGGGCAATTCTGCATCTAGCATTTGCTCCACATTTTCTCAACTGGGAGGAAAAAGTGCGGCTCAAAACCACACTCAAATACCTCGGGGCAACACCCTATTGGCTGCAAAGTCACTCCTGAATGACCATAAATCTATGCAGAAGGTACCACAAAACCTGGTGACGATCAAAGGAAGCAAAAGCAGCATGCAGTGCGGAGGGTACCATAAAATCCGATGATCAAAGGAAGCGAAAGCGGCACGCAATGCAGAGAGGGATTTCTGTTCCAACGTGCGTTTCGTAAAACAATGGAGGGAAAAGACAACGCAGAATTGCCCTGTATGTCTCTGGGAGTGAGAGAGAGAGGGCCTGAGGTGTGAAAGGGTCATGGCGCTTTGTGTATTTTACAAGAGACAAGAAAGGTGATGAGAGTGATGTCCTGACCTACTTGTAACCCATAACCTGTGCAAGAGAGGTTGTAGAGGGGGGTAGGCGCTCAGTGTGAGTGACAAGGGGTGTCATGGCTCCCTTCATCGGCTGACTCTCTGTTCTGATGAAGGCCCACTTTGACTCTCGAAAGCTCATACCCGAGAATCTTGCTGGTCTCCAAGGTGCTGCTGGACTCGAATCCAGCTCTTCTACTGCAGACCAACATGGATATCTGGGACCTTTGACTCTCATAAACTTATAACCCCCGCCCCCCAATCTTATTGGTCTCTGAAGTTCTGTCCTGCTGCACCCCAACGGGGGCTCCCCTCTGCAAATATCTTCCCGGCAAAGGATAATTACTATAATTAATTTTATGGCAGGGTACGATCTTCATTTTGATCAACCAAACATTATTCTTGGGCTTGTCTGGAATAATCAACGCATTTTTTTCCCCTTGATGGTTTGGAATCTTTTTGCTACAGCAAAAATAAAATAAAATAAAATCATTGCAAAGTAATTGGGGTGGGTGTTTTTCTCCACTTTGGCCTGTGAACTGGAGCACTGTTTTTCGGAGCCATCTGCCTGAGGGTCTCTAATCACTGACTTCCCAGCTTCCTGCTGTTCTCTGGGCACTCTTGCTCTCTAACCCGGATTATGGCACTCTTTTCTGAAATAACACAGTCCAGGATGTTAGCGTGCCATCTAGGTGGAAATTGGTGCGTTTTTGACGAGATCTTACCCCATCAGTGCTATTTTCCTTCCATCAGTCCCCTCACAGCCACCAAGCTCCCCACCATGCCGAGCATTCTGAGGTAACTGCTATAGCACTATAATGCTATTATAATAATTAAGTGCTATCAAACTGCAGCTATGGTGACCCTTTGAGGGGTTTTCGAGGCAAAAGAGGAGAAGAGGTAATTTGCCATTCCCTCCCTCCATGCAGAAACCCTGGCCTTCTCCATCCAAGAACTAACCATGGCTGACCTTGCTTAGCTTTCAAGCTATGCTGAGCTTGGGCTTTCCTGGGCCATTCAGGCTGCTATAATGCTATAGTGATTGTCGATTTTCTAAAAAGCCCTCAAAAAGCTCATTTGGTGGCTCGGCGGGGAAAAATGCAGGGGAAATGGCATCTGATGGGGCAAAGCTCCAGGAAAGCTTTGCGTGGATGCTCCATTACGAACGCTAGTGCCACTGTTTAGCATTGGCCACGAATGCCAAATGGAGAATCCTCACCATGTGGAAGTAACCACCGGCGTCAATCGACATTCCTACTATTTCAGAAGGGCTGTGCGACTCCTGGAGTCTAGCTGAAATCGCGAAGCGTGGAGATCTGATGCATTCGAAGACTGACAAGGGATCTGCTGAATCCTTTCATCAAGTGTGATACCTCTTTATATGAATGCTCTTTACAACAGCCTTTTTAAAGAGGCTTTCGGTATATTTACTGGGATCCTGTCATTGCTTGTACTTGTCTGAATGGGATCGAATTTTGCAAATGTAATTTTGTTTAATCAAAAACAAGCTAATTCCTTATCAGGATCCACAGTGGTCTTTGGTCTCGTTCTCACTGATGTGGAAAGCCAAGGTATGGGACTGTATAATGCTGACTTGTAGCGAAGATCCCTGCTGAATTGTAGCGAAGATCCATCTTGTCCGGCTTCCTGTCTTACACAGCACCCAACCAGGAAGGCCCACTAGCAGGGCACAAAGGCCAGACATCCATATGGATAAGGAATGTGCAACCAGCATGGCTTCCGCTAGGTCTAATGGGCAGTTGAATTGGAGCAACATCTTTGTTCCCTCGGAACTCTCCCAGGTCCTGAAAATCCACCCACACTTCCTACAGCTGCTGCTGATTTCAAACCAAGTTCCTCATCCCAGGGCCTCATTCAGTGCCTTCAGAGGCCAATGGTTGCTGCTATTTAATTGCAGGGAGTGGGGGCTGCACCATGAGTTAGATCTAGCCTTTTCTTGCACCAGTGCTGACTCTTATATATGAATCTATGGTTTGTAATTTCTGTTCATTATTTATTTTCTGGGCAACCTTGTCATTCCCCACAGGATTCCACTGTAATCAGATTAGCAGCTCCATTTCTATCATTGGCAGCCCTGACCTGGATAGCCCAGGCTAGGCCAATCTCATTTGATTTTGGAAGCTAAGCAGGGTCTGTCTTGGCTAATATTTGGATGGGGGACCTCTAAGGAATACCAGGGCATGACGCAGAAGCAGGCAATGGCAAACTATCTCTGAAATGTCTCTTGCCTTAAAAACAAAGTCTAGCTCACCACCTAGTGATGCATAACACTAAAAGAGCTAGAACTGCCAGATAATCTTAAGATCTCCTGGATATACTACACACACTTCCATATGATAATTAAGTAATTAATTCTATTGTTGACTATGGCAGATGCCAACTGCTTTGTCAGAATTTGCACGAGTTCCCAAGCGACTGTTTTCCCCCCTCTGTCTCTGCTTCAGTCATTTACTCTGAATCATTCCCTTCATTGTTTTTTCCCACTGATTGATTTCTATTTTTTTTAAGCTGTGGGATTTTTTTTAATGCATGGTTTTATTGACACTGGTTGTAATAGTGTTTTACTGATAACTTTATTGTGTTTTACTGATAACTTTATTGTTAGTCGCTGCAGGTTGTTTTGATGAATCACTTTCATGTTTTGAAACTATTTACTTGGAGCACAAATCACCGAGAAGCCGGATCGAAATGTGTAGCTCAAAGGAAGAAAGAAATACCTGTAAAATACTCTCCAAATTCTTGTTCTAACTTCATTGCTCGGTCGTATGTTTTCTTGGCTTGCTCCTCTGTGAGGCGTTTATTCATTTCCCTAAAGGTACAGGTAAGAGCAATCGATCAGCATTCCGTAAGCCCCACATAGAACCAAAATCAGCACAGACGAGTTTTCAAAATGTGCTTCAGCTGGAGTGGGGGTAGCCCACTGAAGAAGACAACAAACTGTGATTCGGAGGGTGGTGGCAGCACTACATAACACAACAGTCTCAAGCAAATCACTCTCTCTGCCTTAGATCCCCCTCCCCTGCAGTACGGGGGTACTAATATCAGTCTACCTTATACGATACTTGTTAGGATTACAACAAAAATAAGATATACATTAAAAGGGGTACGCAAATGTGAAGTATTTTGATCCATTATCCATCAAGAGGTGTCTTCAAAGACAAATTGCTGGGTACAATATGGCCACATTATTAGAATCCCTGAAAGCCATAAAATCATGTGTTCAGCTCCAAAGTACTCTGCACAGGCTTAATGGAATTGTTGTGTGTCACAGGTAAGCTCCTCCCCTTAATGATACACCATCAAATTGGTGGAAGACCTTTTTATTTATTTTATTTATGTATTATTTATTTATTTGGATTTCTATCCCGCCCTCCCCGCAGGCTCAGGGTGGCTTACAGAGGCATAACGCCAGATAATAAGAATAAAACAGTATAAAATACGAACAATACAAATTACATTAAATATTAAATAGTTAAGCAAAAATTCATAAAAACATTTCGGTGCTCCCTACTAATTTCCGAATTTTAAAATCAAGATGGTGTTCTCGATGGTATAGCTACTCACAGCAGTGCATATCTCTACTGTTGTCCGTAGGCACATCCAGCACCCTCCAGTAGTACCCGCACCAATTATGGTAATGTATGCGAATTATATGGCGTTTTCCCCCAGGACAACCATGAGTAGTGCTTACTTAAACTGGGGCTTACAAGGACTTAGCCTTAGATCCCAGAGAATTTGCCCTGACCTGGATGGCTGAGGCTGGCCTGATCTCTGGAGACCCACCAAGGGATTCCAGGATTGCTGTGCTCCCCCCATGCAGTTGTGAATGCAGCAAAACCAGGTCAGCCACACACTAAGTAGAGACTTTTACAGGAAACCACGACTTAACCTCCTGTAGTTGGACATCTCATTGGTATCACATGGAACTAAAATGATACTCAAAGCTTGGGAGTTGGAAACCCAAATACCATTGAGTTGTCAGGTACACCTGCCATTACATCCTGGTCTACAGCCAGGCCACGGAGATGGTACTTACATCAGAGGCTCCCACGATTTCGGCTTAATGAAGATAGCAATGGGATAGAGCTGCGCCGCTTGTAGCCGCTTAATGGCGTTTCCCGATACGTCAAGTATACAGTGCTTGCCCTGTCGGAAGCAGAGGAGGGGATGTTTTCTTATTTTTTGGCACATCAACCAGGAAGACAAGGAGGGCTGCTGAGGTGCAGCCGTGGTCCAGAAAACCATAAGTCCTTTCTGCACCTGCATTTTTGCCTCGGTTTCTGAGTGCATCCTATTCTTCCGTTCTGCATCCCCGCCTGCTTTCACTTCCAGTTTGTGTTAGGGCTTTCTCTTGTTTCTGCATTTGTTTTATGGGAATCTGCATTCAGACCGCTTCCAGCACACTGTTGCCCTGTAGCTACCAAAAGTTCTTTTGCTGCGATTCTTTGTTCTCATCTGCTTTCAAATTGCTAATCCTCTCTAAAGTAGAATTGTTTCTGTGGGTATTTATGTGCTGCCCGCTGCCCCTTCACCATTTCTGCATCTCTCTCTTTAGGCTAACACTCCCTCCCCATTCTGTTTTCTTTCCTTCCTTCTCCAAAGACAAAAGAGGACGTGTCCTCCCGCTCAGGCAAACCTTTAAAAAGCCAGCGAGAGCATCAGAAGGAATCGGTAAATATAAAAGACTAGGGGATTCCCTGCTCCCAAATGTGACAGTCTTGCATGTGTGGGTCTGGATCCCCCCCCTTCTTTTCGCAGAATCACAGAGGGAGGGAGGGGATGGCAGCCAGTTAGCTTACAAAATGTGGGTTTTGCTTGTAGATGCAGAATGCATGCAGAATACACAAATAAACCAGAGAGGGTGAAAACCAGTGCAGAGGGAATGCATGCAACTTTGAAGTCCACCCTTAAGGCTTAACTCCTCGGATTCTCTGGAGCAAACTGTCAGTGCAGAAAGGGCCATAGTCACTACCAGCAGACCAACCCTACCCAGACGTTCTTCTGTATGTGCCCCACTGAAGTGAATGGGCATTCCCAAAGGGAGCCACCATGCTCTTGTCTAGATCCCATTCATTTCATTGGAGCTGATGGCCATGAGAAGAGCCCTACTGGAATAGGTCAGTCTAGTGCAGCATCTTCCAGTGGCCAACCTGTTGCCCCTAGAAGGCATAGAAGCGGTGCATGGAGGCCAAATTCTCGTTCTATTGTTCCTCCACATCAACTGGTCTTCAGAGGTACAGCACCTCTGAAAGCGGAGGTTCTGTTGAGCCATCATGGAATAGTAGCTGTTGAAAGACTGTTCCTCCACAGATCTAAGCGAATGGCCATCCCTGCCTCTATTGGCAAGGAGTCCCGAAAGTTAATTGCGCCTTGTGTGAAAAAGTATTTCCTTTCTCTATCATCTTTGCACATTGTGTGCAAAACGGATCTCGTATTTGCTTAGCTCGGCTTCTGCAGTTTCTATCACAACCTCCTCCTCCACCTCTTGCGACAAGGGTGTTGTGGAATTGGGGCTGGATCGAGTCTCAGTCCTCTGCGAAAGCTCTACAAAACCTCTGGTACACCTATAACACTTTAATATCTATAGTAATTAGCCCACATAGTTGAAACTTGGTTCTGTTCTGCTTCCGGGAAGCTTCAGGCCACTGCTATGTGCTGTGTGTGACCTTCACTGGACAAGACTTCGCCTCATGTGACTTTTGCTTACCGGGAATGTTTATATTTTACAGCAGTCAGAAGTCACTATCAACTTTTACATAGATAGGATATCTGAAGCTAGCATCCTGGGACTCTTTAAATTAGTTAATCTTGACTCTCTGAGTCACCCTGGCTTAACCCAGCTGTCCTTGACTTCCCTGACCCAAGAAATCGAAAGAAAGGGGCTGACTTTGTTGTATACGTCAGATGTGCGTCAAATGCTCATCACAGACTTGATTGACAGTTACATTGGCTTCAATGGGTGAAAGAGGGTACTTAATGTCTGATTTTAGTCTTGTTCCTTGTTGTTCTGATCAGCTACCCACAGTTATGGGTCTTGGCAGAATAACCAAGGATATCCTTTCTAGAATTACAAGTGCACTATTTATGTATTGGGGTTGTGTTGAAATATTCTATGGCCCCGGTAACACGGAGCATTAGCCATGCTAGAGGGACGGAAGATAGGCAGAGTTTCTGGGCACGATCTCACCAGCACATCTGGGAAGCGTCGGGCTTCCGTGGCGCAACCGAGGCTTCCCGCCGAAGACGGGCAGTAAAAAACTAGTACCTCGGAGGTACTAGTTTCCTGAAACCGCGGGGCAAGGGCAGGCGTCTGATCGCGTTTCCGGAGGTAGTTCCGGCGTCCGCCCATGTCCCCTCGGACAAAGTTCCCCCCCCGAAGTCTCCAGGGATGCACACACGCACCCAAGGGAGCATGCGCACAATTGCATTTAAAACAAAAAACAACCAACCCGTTTGCCCTGTGCCCCGCTTCTTTGCCGCGCCGCAGGACTGTGGAGTGATTGGCACCTCTCCACGGTCCCCCCCCCCCCGCAGTTTCCTGCCCGTGTGACCAGGACCTATGTTGAATAACTGAAATGCTACAAAAGTGTTTTCTGACTTAAGAATGTGTAATGGAATGAATTGAGTCTTGGTTTACAACATCTCTCTCTCTCTCTCTCTCTCTCTTCCTCCCTCCCTCCCTCCCTCCCTCTTGATGAAATTGGGAAGCCAGCTTCCCAAAATGAACACAGTGGGAATGAGAGTGCATGCAAAGGGTCCTGCATCCCTGATTTCCCCCCAAAAGGGCTAATAGCAATAATTAATTCTGAAGGTAAGTTGGGATGAATTTTAGATGACATCTCTGCATAGGTGCAGTGGATCCATTTAAGTTGGGAGTAACAGTACGGGTCTAGATAGATCTTAACAGCAGAAGAGCTTGGGGCATGCCTACCTCCCTACTGTAATATCATCAAACGGAGGAGGAAGCAAAGCCAGACACAGATCTGGTTATAGGATTAAGCACATAAGAACAGCTCTGATTGATCAGACTCATGGTCCACCTAGTTCAGCATCCTGTTGCCCTGGGGGCCAACCAGATACCCCCAGTAGGTATACAAACAGGGCCAGGGACAAAGCCTGCCCCCTCATTGCTCCCCAGTGCTGGTACTCAGAGGTGTACCACCTCCAAATATGGACCTTCCATTTAGTCACCATGGCTGTTAACCATGGATGGACTGACCGGGAATTTGTCTAATCCCCCCTTTGAAGGCTATCAGCAGCCGCCATCTCTTCATCCCATGCCAGCGAGTTCTACATGTTAATTCTGGTACACGAAGAACTTCCTTTTTCTGCTCTGAATTTACCGCCAATCAGTTTCACTAGTACTATGGGAGAGAGAGAAAGAGATCTGTCTGTGCATTTTCTCCAACCCATAGATAATTTTATAAACTCCAGTACCCTTTGCAGAAAAGATATCCCACACTTAACGCGCCCCCTTCACTTACCCTTTCTGCCACGAATCTCACAGATTGCACACTTGTTCCATACAGATTATCATTATACTGCCCGGCTTCTATGAATTTGTGCTCTTGGATATCTTTTTCCATTTGTTCTCTAGACATGACAAAATGGTAATCTCTCCCGTCCACTTCGTAATCACGCTTTGGTCGAGTTGTATCTTTTGGGGAACAAAAAAAAGTTTTCCTGCGTCAGATTTTTCAAGCGTTTGGAATAGACATCTTTGAGACTGTATTTTGACTTTTGATTTATATGTAGTTGTTTATATATTATATCTCATTTATACTTACTATTATATTTGGGATAAAGCATACTTATAACCTTTATAACTATATGAATTTATTTATTACATTTTTACACCCTTTAAACTTGTTTAAGTTAATGACAAATTAACTAAAACATCTTACCGCCACCACATTAACATTAACCAGGGCCAGGGCCTTTTCAGTGGTGGCTCCATACTGGTGGAATGAGCTCCTGGAAGAGTTCCACAGGGCCTGCAAGATGGAACTCTTTCACCAGGCTTTCAATTAGGAGCCGCCACACCACCACCAACAACATCTGTGGGTATGGGTCGGCTCTGATCTGGAGATTGCACCATACCATCGCACTATGCTGAAGATCACTAAGTTGGAAATAGCTGTTAGTATGCCATCTTAATTACTCAAAGATGATCACCATCACTAGCACTTTAATTATCAGATTGTTTTAACGCTTGAATGCTTAATGTTTAATGTTTATGATTAAATGTTTTAATCTTTGTGTATGGTTTTATGGCACTGGGTACCAACTAATGTAAGCCGCCCTGAGCCTGCTTGCGGGGAGGGCGGGGTATAAATGGAAACAATAAATAAACAAACAAATAAACATATGGAAATGCCTTACACTGAGTCCAGATCACTGTTTTATTAAGATCTGAACTGTCTATGTCGATTGCCAGTGGCTACCCAAGGTCTCAAGGAGAAGTCTTCCACATCAACCATTACCTGATCCTTTTAACTGGAGATGCTGGGGATTGAACCTAGACCTTCTGCATGTAAATCAAAAGCTCTACCACTGAGCCGCAGCCTCTCCTCCTCCTGAGATCGGCAGCAAGAACACCTAACACTAAACCAAAATAAAATGCCAGCTACCCAGGAATTTTGAATCCCCAAAGATCCAGAAATTCAAATCCCTGAAGTTCAAGAAATCCCAATCCCCAAAGATCCATAAATTCCAATCCTCGAAGATCCAGAAATTTAAATCCCCTGGACAGAAGAGTTTTTTAGCTACTGATGGAACACAAGCTAAACTTCCTTTGGATAGGCATATTACAGCTACAGTACAGCTATTGGAAGCCCTTTCTTTCACGGTTGCCCACCATATTTTAGGAGGTAGGACTTAGTCCGATGATGGCTTTGGCTTGCTGGATCTCTGTATTGTTTTACTGCTGTCCTCCAGTATTGTGATCCTTTGTGGTATTCTGAGAAAGTTCTTGATGGTTGGACTACCAGGTGTCTCTGTGGGGATTGGGAGCAATGCCAGAGACACTTCTCGCCTCTGCAGTCCAGACTTCTAGGACTATTCAGACCATAATGATCCATAAATGTGTACATGGGCCAGTAGGGATGAGTGCTTTCAGTGCTGGTATTCTGATGGGTAGAACCTCTACATTCTTTCCCAAAGTCTAGCAGTCTTGCATTTTCCTTTACGGCACTGAATTTCCAGCAGGCAGTAGGGTTGCCAGCCTCCAGGTGGGGCCTGGGGATCTCCCGCTTTTACAACTGATCTCCAGATGACAGAGATCAACTCCCCTGGAGAAAATGGCTGCTTTGAAGGGGGGACTCTGTGGCATCGTACCATGCCGAGGCCCCTCCCCTCCCCAAACCCTGCCTTCTCCTGGATCCACTCCCAAAGTCTCCAGGTATTTTCCAACCCAGACCTGGGCAACCCTAGCAGGCAGTTAGAAATGTATTGCAATCTGGTGGGTTTCAAAGGCTTCGTGGTCAAAGCGGTCCTCAAAACGAGGACAATAAGGAGGCTGGTTTGTGGGATGGACGATCCTCTTGGAAGTTCCAGATGCGATGTCCCCAGTCTCAGACCTCCAGATTTCGTGGCAAGAGAAGCTAGAGAGCTAGATAGGCACACTGACCTTTTGTCTTTTCTCTACTCTTCTGCCACTGTCCCCTTTGAAATGCAGATTGTGTTCTTGGGGACCATTCCCCTTCCTTCCGTCCTCTCACTCACTCTAAGTCGATTTCTCTCCCTGCACGCACCAAGAGAGAGACATGTGGTCTTCTCTTGGCATCGTGAGGCAGGTGGGCCTCTTGCCATCTGCTTCCATCCTTTAGCTAGTTAGTTAGTACTCTATCCTGTCCCTACTCTTTCCTATCCAAAGTATCCTTCTCAAATAAAGAGAGAAGTATTTCTCTTCTAAACTTGCAATGTGGCTCTGTTAGCCTCTTTGGGTGCCACTGTAAGTAATAGGGTAAGGCAGAAATGTTCCAAATCAACAGATAAGCAAACATATAAAGACCAGGAAACATTATACTTACGTGGTACACAGGAGCCAAATTTGTCAGGAAATTCAGATATCAAGTCATCGTTGATCCGATCTTTCATTGGACCAAGGATGATCACCGGTCTTGTATAATTAACTGAAATGCAGGAAGAAAAGGAAGATCTTGGAGAAGGATGTAATTTTAAAGACAAGAACAATGCAAGAACCACCTGAAACCTATATTTTAGTACAAATAAGCTGAATTGGACAGGGATCACTCCAAGGCGAACGTTTTTTTCTGACAGGTGGATAGAAGGCTAGCTGGAGGCAGCATTTGGTTTGTAAAACAAAAGTTCACAATGGTGAGCCAATTCCCAAGAGTTATTTAAAAGTTTGAGAACACTGGGAAGGATCTCACAGTTCTGTTCTGCTAATGATAAACTCTTTCCTCCAGCGGAAGGAGCTTTCCCCTGATACAAGAGGTTCTTGGAGTTCCTTGGACCAGGTGAAAGCATGACCATTAATAGAATGAATCTTCAAGTTCCAGCCATCACACCCCCAAACTGCTCACCAATCCATGCCACCCTGTATCCTGTGCAAATGTGAATTTTATTCTTATTTCACCTGTCTAAAATTTGTCAGGCCATGTCCCTTTAGTGCAAGTATAATCCCTGGGAGTTATATTCCAGCTGACTGGAAAACAAAAATCACTGCTGGAAACGTAATAGCCTTCAAAATTTTATTGACCCATGAAATTTTAATGACCTATTCCTGTTGGCAGCAGGGGATAGGACTCGCAATAATGTGCTTGAATTAAGGGTGGGAACGTGCCGGCTGGATATGAGGGAAAACTTTTTGAGAGTCAGAGTTGTGCGACAGTGGCATCAGCTGCCTAGGGAGGTGGTGAGCTCCCCCTCCCTGGCAGTCTTCAAGCAGTGGCTGGACAAGCACTTGTCAGGGATGCTCTAGGCCGATCCTGCATTGAGCAGGGGGTTGGACGAGATGGCCTGTACGGCCACTTCCGACACTGGGATTCTATGATTCTAAAATGAATGGCAGTTGTCTTTTTCTCCCCCTATCATACTGCATTATTAAAGTATATATGATACTGTCTGTATTTGATCAAGATATCTAATAGTCAACATGGCCTCATCTGAGGATGCTTAAATCCACCGATTGGGGCCATGTTGAGAGAAGGAGGGGTTTACAAAAAAAAAGACCCCTAAAGTTTTTAAAAACAAAATGCCAAAGAGTGCAGCTGTTTGAGCTTGTGCAGACAATTGTCTCCTGACCTGGTTGGTCAGGAGGCCACATTACTGGAGGTGGATGGAATGGGACCCACCACTGCCCTTCCCTCTGCTGCTGAGGTGGTGGTGCTGGAGGACAGCAGGAAGGTCAGGAGGAGCAAGAGCCTCTGCTACCAATCCTCCAAAGTCCCCTATCCACCATGGCGTGAGTTAGAAGGCTGGGTAGGTAAAGCATTGGGAGGCATGTGGACGGGCAGGAAAAGCAGTGGGAAGGGGGGACACCTGAGTGGCTGGGATGAAGATGAGTGGGTGGGCAGACAGAACAGTGGGGAGGGAGCAGGCAGGCTAAATTCCTTCTCCCGTGACTCTCGCGGGTCCCCTCTTGTTCTGTAACTGTGGATCCCTCTTGTTGTTCTGTAACTGTGAATCCCAGTTTATGCAACATTTTTATTACATTGTTCTTCAATTCTGTAACCCAGTTTCATTGCACTGTTAATTGCAGACATTATACTGGTCTTTATTGCATCGTAACTCTGCAATATGCCCTGAGTGTCAACGAGAAAGATGGACAATAAAGGAAGTAAACCAGCAAAAACCACTAGCATCTGGATACTGATCATAAAGAACCCCAGTCCGGTTTACTTGAAACTAAAATGAGCTGAAAACAAAAAGACCCCCACCCCCAATTGTGTACATCTGTAAATACAGTCCTCGATGTCCCTTCTGGAGTCTAAACCTTCTGAGTGGTGCATGCGACATCCCAAGCCATAAACTATGGACTCAAGTTTATTTAGTAGAGCATCATGGCGTGCTTACTTTCCTGCCTTGTGACTGGCTCGTAGGAGAGAATGCAGTCCTCTTGTCCTCCTGATAAGAGAGGAAAGAAAGGAAGAAAGCAAAATCAAGGCTGACAAAACAATACTCCTTTTCCGACTATAATTGTCTGTAGCTTATCAACTAGCTGCTCTGAAACATCTCCAGTGGTTTCAAGGGAAGTGATCCCTTTCTAGAATTACTCAGCCGTGGCAACAAAACCTCTTTCTTAATTATCAGTGGCCGCACCAACAGAAATAAGGTTGGAAACGAATGGCCGATTTATCTCTTGGCAGCATCCTACGGGAACAGGATGCTTGCGAAAATTCGTATTTGGAAAGGTTAGGATGCGCATGCTCGACGCAAGCAGATGGAATGGCAAGAGAGCTCTATAACATACTGGCACAACAGCTAGCTCTGAATCAGTGCTACACATAATGGATGAAGCTTGGTGGTGGGCAGGGACCCTCAGTACTGGAAAACTAGGCGTTTGCTATTGTGTGTCATGGGAAAGATCGCTAGTTGCAGCCCAGGTAGAGTCGAGTCCAGCAGTACCTTAAAGACGAACAAGATTTCCAGGGTATTCGCTTTCAAGAGTCAAAGCTCCCTTAACGAGATAGGAGTAGGAATAATGATCCGAGTCTTTTTATCTCAGTCAGAAGGCGGAAGGAGTGTTGTAAAGAATGCTTATAGAAGACACAAAGGTACAATTCGTTCTGCAATCAGCTTGATTAGAATAGAGGGGAAATGCTCGAATCGCGCTGATTACCATATGCGTTGTATCTTTGCATCTTTTATTTATTTATTTTTTTATTTATCCTTCGACTTGATATACCGCCCTAACCCCCGTAGGGGTCTCTGGGCGGTTTACAATTCTTGGGTGCTAATCACCGGAAACAACCCTAACTACGGCCACAATGGTACAAGGGGGGGGGACTCCCTACCGGCACCCTGGTGGAGGCTTCTGTAATTTTCCCGGCTCGGCTTTCTTTTTCCGGCTGTAAGGTGTCTCAGTGCTCAGGCAGACAGGCGGATGTATGGATTGCCGGCGACGTCGTCCTCGGCCCGATCATGTCCTTTCCGGCTCCGCGCGCCTCCAGATGACGTCACTGCGCCTCCGACCTCCATCGACGACAGCCGCCTAGTTCTTTCACCACTGGCCACCAGGGATCAGTCTGGCTCTGCTGCCGCCGCTTGCCGCCTTTCAGCGTTGCGCCTCCTCCTCCAATCGTCTGCCGCCACTGCTCCGCTGTAGCCGCCGTTCTTGCCGCCGCCGCCGCCATTGCTGCTGCTTCTCCACACACCTCCATAGGCGGAGGAGGGTGCCCCCCACCCTACTAAGGGTGGGTACCCATTTATCTACTCGCCGATAGATAGTTACTTGGCTTTCAAACCACTGGGTGGGCGGGAGCTAGGACTTAAGGGTCGAGAGCTCACCTCGACCGCGGTGGGACTCGAACAGATGCTCGAGTAGATGTTAATGCAGGTGTTATACTCCCTGCGCCACCGCTCCCTTTACACGCATTCTTTACCACACCCCTCCCGCCTTCTGACTGAGATTAAAAGGCTCAGAGTTCTCAGTTTCTACTTGCCTCTGACGAAGGGATTTTTGACTCTCAAAAGCTTAGACCCTGAAACTCTCGTTGATCTCTAAGGTGCTGCCGGACTGGAACCCGACTGTTCTATAGCTACCCTCCGAAACTGTAGTCACAGCCCAGTAAAACCAAACATCTGGAAAAGCCAGACCTGGCAGAGTTTGATTCAACCAACGTAATTTTCAAAAAAATAAGAAATCATTTCAGTTATATCAGAGGGCAAGGCTTTTAACCTTTGATGAAATCGGGGGTAATAATAACAGATCCCCGAGAGGTACAAAAACAAGTCAAGCTGATTTCCCCCCTTAATTGCTATTGCTTCATCCTCCCAGTGTGTTTCTTTTTATTTTGAGGATTTCATTGAAAGGGCACTGAGGTCAGTTAGATCCCCCAATTAAAAGGAGTTGGGGAAACAACACTAAACACATAGATCTAGGGTTGTCAATGGTCTGCAGCAAAAGTGTCCTGTCCCTTTAGGCTTAATGGGATGTTATTGACCAGATGACAGGGATGACAGACCCCTCGGTGGGGGTGGGGGTCTCCCACTATCAGATCCCAGGACCTGATATTTGCTATCAGGAATTACCCCCCCCCCCCCAAGGGAGGAATGCCTGGCATTTCCATGACATGCCTATGTGACCCAGAAGTGACATAGTTTTGTGGATCAGTCAGGTGAAGAGGACTCCTCAGAAGGTCTTCTCAGGAGGAGTCCTGTGTAGCCAGCTCTGAATCTGCAGAAGCAAGCAGGAAGATGAGCTGCAGGCTTGTCAGGGCTCACAGCCAGCAGCTGCTGCAGAGCCCTCAGTAACCTCCAGCCCTGATTCAACAGGTGAAACCCAGTTGGTCGTTGCAAGCCCTCCAGTTTCTCCCACACCCTTAGAGCCCCGGAGATGGAAGCTGAGAATGGAACTACAGGAGAGACGACAAAGTGCACGCCTCCTGGCCCAACGCCAGCTGCTTGCTGATGGTAAAGATAAGCAGCTGCAGAGTTACTCTCAAGTGGCTGGCTGCGGGCATGACCCTTTAGTATACGGCTACATAAACCAGCAAAGGGAAACTGCTCATTGTGGAAGTAGCAAATCACGATATTGCTGACTCTGTGACCATTGCACTGGACTATGCCTTGCTCCTGTGACCTTTGGACCAACTATTGACTCTGTCTCCTGGACCTGCCTTGACCTTGTTTGTGAACAACTTTGGACTGCCAGACCTTGCCTCTTGGATGACCCTCTGGCCTTCCATCATTCTGGTAATTGATCTCTGGACTGGACTCTTGGCTACGATACTTGAGAGTAGGGACTCTGTCTGCCTGCACCCAGGACACATAGAATTAGAACCTAATTCTACCATAGAGTTTTACCCAAAAGCCAGAATGTTGCCTCCTGACATGCCTACGTCACTTCTGGATCACATAGGCACATCGTGAAAATGTTGGGCGTTCCTCCCTGCTCTCGGTAATTCCCCCCCCTCATTGGCTGCTCAGAGGGACCTGGCACCCCTACCAGGTGATGTTATTGACTGCCGTGCCATGAAAACCTTCACCTGCCTGTTTCCAAACATTAAGCCTCCATTAAAGGGACAGGACTTATTTGTTCCAGGTTGCTGGCAAACCTATGTTGGTCCCGCAATCCCCAGCATAGTCATTATGGGAATGCAAATGGACCCTTGTTGCGCCGGCCGTAAAGCAGGTAGGACCCAACTCAATGTCTTCTAGCTTAGATCATCAGAATTGCTAGGTGCTGTACGAAACCCCAAGACACCGATGCGTACCATTTCACAAACCAGGCAGGAGGATCTCTGTCTGAATCGCAAAATCCTCCCCACTTGTGAAAAGCTGGCAAGTGAGAAAATGATGCTATGTGGAAGGCATTCAGAAGCGCAAAGCAAAAGAGGGATAAATGAGCCAAGCTCAGCCTACTGAGCGGGCAGCCATAGCGGTCTTATCTGCATCAGGGTTCCCTGGCTCCCTGCCCAGTGAAGGACACGTGCAGATTACCGAAAAGATGCAAAAGTCGTGTCTTTTGCCATTTCCTCATGCAAACCAAAGTTATGCAAACCATCTATTGAGCAACATCTTGTTTTTCCTGAAAGAAGGTGACATTTGTTATGATTTTGGGTATGCACAGAGGGTCTCAAAAGCCTATAACCATGAGGTCCAACATCCATGGTTATTTGGGCCCAACCAAAGACAGGTGTTCTGTGCTAGGGGTACAAACGGATCGACTCCACAAATGGCTTGAGAATAGGAAGCAAACAGTACTAGAAAACGGAGACTGAGGGGTTTCTGCAGCTAGGGACCAATGGCACATAATCTCACAACAATATCACTCATTTTACCATGCTACATTAACACCGTTGGCCAATCCATACCTAAAAATTGGGAAGAAATATTTTTTTACGGAAGGCTTGGACCGATAGAGGGATTTTTACATTGGACCAATAGATAGACTATGATGATGAGTTTTTGTCATTTTTCTCGGCTGAGGTCTAGACGGGACTTGTCAGCTGTTGAATGGCAATATCTACAACTGTAATATCCATTGGTTTCTAAATTAAAATTGATTTGTTATCATATGGTATTGTGTGTGGAACAGTCAGGAGATCCTGTAAGGGGTTGTTTGGCTGCCAAAGCTGTAGCTCTTTTTTTGGCACCACTAGGTGGCGAGCTATGCTTATTTTTAGGCTGGGAGTGGTGTGACTTGCCTAAGGTCACCCAGCTAGCTTCAAGTGGGGAAGTGGGGAATCAAGCCCAGTTCTCCAGATTACAGTCTGGCTCTGGTTTCTAAATATGGCCCTGCAACATTAACAGTGCAATCCAGTGTGGAGCTGCTCCAGTCCAAGCCTACTGATTGCAATAGGCTTAGACCGGAGTAACTCAGCACAGGATTGCAGTGCCAGAGTCTCAGACTCCCCTTTGCTCCTGAAACCTCTAACTGAATCGATGCAGAGATGAAACCGACAATATTTCTTTATAGATATTTGATGATGATTAATAATATGATATGCAGAGTCTCAGGAATGAATGGAATAAGGAGCTAGATCACCCCAAGCATTGGGATATGGTCTTAAAGTTTAGACCTGCTCTGTCCGTGAATCTTCAGTTGCAGTTTATGCAGCAAAAAATTATGCTTTGGATATACAGGACGCCACAGCCACATTTTAGCAAAGGACTGAGTTTTGGAGGTCGCCAATTCATAGGCTTGCCACAGTCCGAAGTGACTTCGCAGCACATAATGCACACACATCTCTCCTCCTCGGATTTATCTGATCCCCTTGGAAAATGTCTAAAAAACCCCCTTTAATTTCAGAGCCCTTTTCGACACCTGATTTCTGTTTGCGTCTAATTCCAAGTCAAGCCATTTGCACCAGCAATAGTCTGTCATGGCGGCTTTCTTCCCCCAAGTTAGGAAAGCAAGGAGAAAAAGAAAGAAAACCGTTAACGGGCAGGCCAAAGGAAAA